ATAAAACCAGTAACCACTCATGCTGGTGAAAATGTGGGGTAAGAAAAACATTCATCCACTGCTGGTGGGAGTATAAGCTGCCATAGCCACTATAGGAATCAGTGTGGAAGTTCCTCAAAAAGCTGAAAATTCATCTACCAAAAGATCCAGCTATACCACTCTTGAGCGTATACCCAAAGCACTCCACATCTTACAAAGAGATTATTTGTTCATCCATGTCACTGTGGCTATATTACTAATACTCAGAAATTTGAAACAGCCTTAAATGCCCATTAAGAAAAATGAAATAATGTAATGTTCAGATAAATGGATAACGTTAGAAACAATCATCCTGAGATAACCCAGACCCCCAAAAGACAAATGTTGCATGTTTCTCTTATAAGTGGATGTTATCTTTTAAGATTTAGATATGCAAATTTTGATCAAAATAACCACAGAAGTTAGATAGTAAGAGGGCAGGAAGCGTGGGAATGAGAAGAAAGCAAAGGGATCTTCTAAAGAAGGGAAACAGAATTTTTTTTTATTTTATTTATTTTTTATTTATTTTATGGTTTTTCGAGGCAGGGTTTCTCTATGTAGTTTTGGTGCTTGTCTTGGATCTCATTTTGTAGACCAGGCTGGACTCAAACTCAGAAATCCGCTTGGCTCTGCTTCCTGAGTGCTGGGATAAAAGGCATGCATCACCACTGCCCGGCTGGGAAACACAATTTATCACTGAAACAGAATTTACCATTGAAACAGACAAAGGGGGAACTAGAATATGAGGATTAAATGGGGAGAAGGACAGGAGAGCCAAAGAAAAGGAAGGAATATAGGAAGGAACAACTAATATTAAAGGCCTTTTAAAAAGCCATAGAGAAACCTACTATTGTAGAAGCTACCTAAATGTAACAGGAATCTAAATAGTCACCATACAACGGTGGAGACAATGCACCTACTAGACATCTTATGCTACCAAGGAAAACCTCCAGTTTTAGGAATGGATTACATCTTGTTGAGTTGTTGGTTAAAAGGGACCCAGAGGCTCCCCCAATTCCCAAACATCAGAGGTAATTTTAATTGCCAAGGCTATTCATTAATCTCCACCATCTGATTATAAGACCATATGGTTGACACAACAAAGACACAACTTACTCAATCATCAAACATGGAGAAATTGAGCAGGTGTCCAACAAGAAGCTTCATCCCTACTGACTACCTAATTCATGGTGCTGAAACATACTTTTCAGGCTACCAGATGAGAAAAACAATTATCAATACCATCCAGATAGAAACCCTGATACCTGCAAGTGACCTATCTGCCAGATAAACTGGTATAACAGTGGTTCCTCAGCAAGGATTATCTCTGAAAGGCCTTCCCCACTCATGTTTGAATTGTGGCTGTCTAAAGTCTTAGGGAGATCTAACACAATTGCTTTTAAGTGGTATTGAACATAAGTGAAATGGGCAAATGTTGCATTCATCACTAAATAGGATATGTTTATTTGATATCAAAACATACAGGATCTTTTTTTCTTTTCTTTTATTTTACAATACCATTCAGTTCTACATAACAGCCACAGATTCCCTTGTTCTCCCCCCTCCTGCCCCCTCCCCTTCCCCCCTGCCCACCCCCCATTCCCATCTCCTCCAGGGCAAAGCCTCCCCCTAGGACTGAGATCGACCTGGTAGTTTCAATCCAGGCAGGTCCAGTCCCCTCCTCCCAGACTGAGCCAAGTGTCCTTGTGTAAGTCCCAGGTTTCAAACAGCCAACTCATGCAGTGAGCACAGGACCCAGTACCACCCACCGCCTAGATGCCTCCCAAACAGATCAAGCCAATCACCTGTCTCACCTATTCAGAGGGCCTGATCCAGTTGGGGGCCCCTCAGCCTTTGGTTCATAGTTCATGTGTTTCCATTCATTTGGCTATTTGTCCCTGTGCTTTATCCAACCTTGGTTTCAACAATTCTCACTCATATAAACCCTCCTCATTCTCACTAATTAGACTCCCCGCGCTCCACCAGGGGCCTAGCCGTGGATGTCTGCATCCAGATTCCTCAGTCCTTGGATGGGGTTTCTGGCACAACTATTAGGGTGTTTGGCCATCCCATCACCAGAGTAGGTCAGTCCGGGCTGTCTTTCCACCATTGCCAGCAGTCTTTTGTGGGGTTATCTTTGTGGATTTCTGTGGGACACTTTGTTTCTTCCTTTTTTCATGTGGTCTTCATTTGCCATGGTCTCCTATTCCTTGTTCTCCCTCTCTGTTCTTGATTCAGCTGGGATCTCCCACTCTCTTTCCCTTGACCCTCGCCCTTCATTGCTCCCACTCATGTCCAGGTTGTTCATGTAGATCTCAGCCATTTCTCCGTCATTAGTCGATCCTCATGTCTTTCTTGGGGTCCCATACAGGATCTTTTAATGGTTTATTCTAAATGATTTCACATGTCTTGAGTAGAAATTATTTTATTCTCCTCTCTTCTTTTTACTGTTTATAACATCTAGATTTGGGACATGGTATGGAGTCAACAAAATTATATTAACAGAATGCACTTCATAATATATACTCTCCAAACTAAAAGTTATTTCTTCTGTTTTTTTTTTTTTTTTTTTTTTTTTTTTTTGTTTTTTTTTTTTTTTTTTTTTTTTTTTTTTTTTTTTTTTTTTTTTTTTTTTTTTTTTTTTTTTTTTTTTTTTTTTTGATATGGGTTTTCTGGCTGATCTGGAACTCACTCTGTAGACCAGGCTGGCCTTGAACTCACAGAGATTCCCCTATCTCTGTTTGCTGAGTGCGGAGATTAAAGGTGTGAGCCACCACCTCCAGGTTACAAGTTACTTCCAATACATTGGAAAGTACAAAAAGACAATTACTAGTTAAAGATCACAAAAGGGTATTTGGGGGCTAGATTTTTATTTTTTCAAATCCTATAGTGATTGTTTTGAAGAATTACCATCTAGATATATTATTTTAAGTTATCCTTTTAGCAATATGCTATCCAGCACTACAGAGAATTCAAGCCTGTGGCCATGGTTTGGCAAGAAAAAGAAGATGGCTGACTACACTGGTGGGGTAAGCAAGCATAGAGGAATAGAGGAGCACTCCTTGTCACAGTCACATGGCAGTTCTACAACAGGGAAAATGGAGGGAAAGCGGGTATGTGTACATCATCTCTAATTTGAGCTGTCTGGGAGGAACATGTTGTAAATACTACAGAAGCCTAGGGGATTTCAGATTAGAACTATGTGCTATTCGATTCAGACAGGCAGACTCATCTTATGCAATATTTCATCCATCTAAGACATTTCAATTAAGTCACTACTATAATTATTATTAGAAATAGTACAGAAATAATCTATGACTTTCCATGGCTTAAATATGCATCCCAAATTTTGAGATATCATTAAAGTCTAACAGAGGGTTTCATGATTATGTAAAATTGAGACAATCCGAACAATGAGAAACAGACTCACATAACAAACAGCTCCTTTTGTGGTGGCATTCTTAGGTATGCAGATTTTGTGAGAGTTTCTAGGGAAGTTTTCACTCTTTTTTGTGAAATTCCAACAAAAAGAATGAGGAGTAAATTCAGTATAGATAACATCACAATTCACGTATAATGATAAAGATTTTCATATTTTTATTCTTCCCCTAGATTATAAATTTGATTGTTTTTATTATTTTTTAATTTTATAATTTAATTTAATTTTACATATCAGCCACAGATTCCCCTGTCCTCCCTCCTCCTGCTCCCTCCCCCCAATTTACCGCCCCCATTCCCATCTCCTCCAGGGCAAGGACTCCCCTGGGGATTCAGCTCAGCCTAGTAGATTCAGTTGAGGCAGGTTCAGTTCCCTCCTCCCTGCACCAAGGCTGAGCAAAGTGTCCCAGCATAGGCCCCAGGCTCCAAAAAGCCAACTCATGCACTAAGGACAGGTCCCAGTCCCACTACCTGGGAGCCTCCCAAACAGTTCAAGCTCATCGACTGTCTCACTTATTCAGAGGGTCTGATCCAATTCCATGGGGGCTCCTCAGATATTGGTTCATAGTTCATATGTTTCCACTAGTTTGGCTATTTGTCCCTGTACTATTTCCAATCATGGTCTCAACATCTCTCGCTCATACAATCTCTCCTCTCTCTCTCGCTGATTGGACTCCCGGAGGAGCTCCACCTGAGGCCTGGCCGTGGATCTCTGCATCCACTTCCATCAGTCATTGGATGAGAGTTCTACCATGACAGGATGTTTGGCCATCCGATCACCAGAGTAGGTCAGTTCGGGCTTTCTCTTGACCATTGCCAGTAGTCTACTGTGGAGGTATCTTTGTAGCAGGAATCTTAGAAGGTCTTATTAATAAAATCAAACCTGAGGCCAGTTATTGGGATGAATGCTGGAAGATCAGATAAGCAGAACAAACCCCAGCCACCTTACCTTGCCAGTTCCTCAGCTGATCCTGTTTCCTCAGACTGGAAGCCTCTCAGTCATCATCCAGAATGGGTCTCAGCTGAACTGTTGCTCAGAGCCCAAAAGCTTAACCAGGCCAAAAGCTTCTAGTTTCTGGTCTTCATGCCTTATCTAGCTTTCTGTTTTTGCCATCACTCCCTGGATTAAAGGCTCACTTCTTGGGATTAAAGGCATGTATCACTATGCCTGGCTGTTTCCAATGTGGCCTTGAACTCACAGAGATCCAGAGGGATTTCTACCTCTGGAATGCTAGTATTAAAGGTGTGAGTGCCACCATTTTCTAGGCTTTGTATCTAGTGGCTGTTCTGTCTCTGACCCCAGATAAGTTTATTAGGGTGCACAATATTTTGGGGGACACAATACCACCACATATCTTTGTGGATTTCTGTGGACCTCTCTATCACTTTGCTTCTTCCCATTCCCATGGGGTCTTCATTTATCATGGTCTCTCTTTCCAAACATGGTATGTACTCACTCATAGGTGGATACTAGATGTAAAACAAAGGATGACTGGACTGCTACTCACAACTCCAGGGAGGCTACCTAGTAAAGAGGACCCTAAGAAAGACACAGGGATCGCTCAACAACAGAGAAATGGATGAGATCGCAAACTGGACGAGAGGGTGGGTAATGAAGGGCAAGGGTTGGGGGAAAGAGAACTTAGGGGGGGCGGGAGAACAAGGAAAGAGATATCATGATAAATTTGATTGTTAAGACTAGTGTTTCAAATGAACTTTTAGATTTAAGCAACCTATAACAAGTTATATGACTTAACCTCAGTATCTCAGTGCTTCCCTACATTTACACAGGAAGGATGTGGCTGTAGAGGATTTGAAAAACACAGGTAACTTTAGACACCTTCTGGCAACTGAATTGGCAGAGTCTTCCTATAAATGCTCTTCCTAAGCACCCTTTATAAAAAACAGTAAACAATCATGGGCCTGATGATTTGCTTCACTATGAAAAGAATATGATCCATGGCAAAATTTAGAACAGAAAAATTATAAAATGGTAAGTTACTCTTTTTAATCATATCTAAAACATATTTTAATTTTATAGATTATTGTAAAATACTTAAAAATAATACTTCTATTAATTCTTTGAAGATCTCGAACAATATATTTATCATGCTTATCCCCCTCCAAGTCCACTCATAATGCACTCTTACTTCTCTACCCATCCATCTTCAATTACTTTAAACCCATGGAGTCCAGTTCATGCTGCCCAACTTCTTGTGGGTATGGGGCTTGTGTTCTACCTAGCAGGGGTTACATAAATAAAATCTTTCGAATTGGCCATTGTATTTTGGTGAAATTTGGCTATTATGTCTACAACTACCTTGCTAATTATGAAAGAGGCAATCATTCATTCACTCATAACTATATATGTGAACAGATAAGTGAATTTTCATGTGCATCTATACATGTGTGTAGGTGTGCTGTTATGTATAGAAGCCAGAGGTCAACCTCAGCTCTATTTCCTCAGGCACTGTCCACCTCTTCCCGTCTTTTATTCTTTTGAGACAGGGTCTTTTGCCAGTCTGGTATCTCATAATCTAGGCTGGCTGGACAATGAACACAGGGATTGCATGTGGGCGCCATTATGTGTGGATCTTTTAACCACTACAGAACCAGTGTAACTCAAGCTAAAACAGACTTTAATCCAAAAAAAGGGCTAAGAAGGCTAAATTACAATAGAGTAGGACTTTGGATGACACCCAGGAAACAGTACTGGTAATCTGGCTAGTTAGGAAGCAAGAAGTTACACATTTTAGAATAATAACTATGATAAATGTTATGGTTGTTAAAGTCCAAAATTGGCATCTGATTCTCCACTGGGTTTGGTCAATGAGGAATGACATTTTAGATTCAATAAATAATGGAGTTGAAAAGGGCAGCAGGTAGAAGAGTCTAACCCTGGGACTCCCTGAGCCTAGAATCAAATTGGATTGATCCAAGTGTTTCAAGTTTCTTCATTCTTATGCTCTACTCAGTTTACATTGTGGACAACTTGTGATATTCAGTTTACATGAGGAATCTGGATTTGAATTGCATAACACACCAACAAAACTATGGCTCTTACTTGAGTCTCACAAGTTGCTTTCTATGTTATTATTTCTATGTTCAAGTACAGAAAAGAGATATAGACCAAGGGTTCTACAAATGTGCTCCAGAAACACAAGACATATTCTGAGACTCACAAGGTAAGAGTTATTTTACTATGATACTAAGACACTATCTTTTTCATTGTGTTGGCATAGGAAAAATGCAGTAAGAGATAAAACTACTTGCTGGCATAGCATTCATGAAAGCAGTGTCTTGACTACATTCATGCATAAAATCTTCACTACAGCATAGAGAGAAAAACACCTAGACAAAGAATGAAAAATGACTGTCATTTATTCTTAACTCCTGAGTACATCTGTGTATGGCATACTACATACGCTCTCTGTGATGGCTGTCTAAAGGAATAGCAGCCATGCAGTTGAATCAGTTTTTAGAAAAGAAGGCCAGTTTTAATGGAATGACATTTTTCCCTATGAGACTGATAGACAAAGTATGAATACTCAGATCTGTGTATGTGGAAATTATTCTCTGGGAAATACACAAAGCAACAGTGGCAATTCTAAGAAAAACAAACAAAACTGTTTGTTCCCAACAATGAAAACTACAGTTGTAAAACTGGGAACTTAAACAAAGATTTTTTTTCCTAGTGTGTTAGATAGGTGTTTTTTTTTAATTATTAAAACTTTTATGATAAGATTTCTACTAATAATAGTGGACTGGTTTTTAAATTCTGTGCAACAAAATATGTCAACATTTGCATAATCTGCTTAATTTAGTGAAATAATCTCTTGCAAATACAAAATTCATGATGTTACAAAATCCTTTATTGTTATAAGATCCATTCAGAACATTAAACAAATTAGCAGATTCTCATGAGTATGAAATGTGCCTTAGATTGCATATAGCAACTATATTGTATCGAGTGTTGCTGTAACATCTAAGAAAACAGACATAGTTCTTTGAAAAAAATTATCACGACAGTCCTTCCTGTGCAGTAGTGTACCTTGTAACCAACAGTTTTCTAGTCGAATGTAGCACCTGTTCAACAATGAAGGGTACCTGTCTGGTACTTGGAAACGTAAACAAATACTCAGTGCTAATGAAATCATGGTTATTGGAGAAGAATCTACAACCACTAATTTATTAAGTGAGCCCAATCCCTAACAATCTATAAACATTTGTCCTTCTATCACAGAAAAGTGTAGCCTTCACTCCTCATCAAGTAAATTTCTCTTTGCATCAGATGGAGACCACTACAGAAAACCACAACCAATCAAAATGCAAATTGTAGAGCCCAGTCCCAGTGGATACATCTACAAAGCAACACCTGACCCTAAGGCTGAGAGAACACTGTGAAAGACTGTGTGGGATGACAGTAAGAACCAGAGGACCAGGAAGTCTGTTGTGAGGTTGTGTCTCCTAGTCACACCAGCAGCTGTACCTGTAAAATCTTAC